AGGGCCCGAGCGCGTGCATCTGCCCCGCGGCCGCCGCTCGGCAGCATTTGCTCCAGGGGGCGGAGACCGAGCGGGGAGGAGGGGCGCCACGCCGCCGGCCAAAGTACCGGCGGATGGGGCCGGGGGCGGGGCCGGGGGCGGGGCCTCCCGGAGTCCCCTCGACCAATCGTCGTCTCGCCGCGGCCGGGCCGGCCCAATAGGTTGGCGGTGAGTGGGGCGGCGTTCAAGGTGAGGTGCGCGGTGCGTTGGGGGCGGAACTTGGTGCCGTCCCGGCCGGCTCCGGGGCGGGGGCAGCGGGTGGCGTCTAAAGAGAGCGCCGGCTCCCAGCCGAGCCTGGGACGCCTTCCGGCCCGGGCTCCCCCGCCCTTCCCTCGGGGCTCCCGGCTCGCCCCCCGTTCAAACTGCCCCCCCCACCCGGCATTTACGCTTAAACGTGCAGCCACTTCTGCGAAGAGGCCAGAGTTAAAGTGGGGCGCGATTAGCACCTCAGGGCAAACGGAGCCGTGGAGCTGAAGGCGCTCGTCCGAACCTCCGTCCCCCCCGTTTCTGGATGTCTCAGCTGCCTCCTGGCCTGCGAACCAGCAGACACCTGAAAGGAGGGTCCTCCCTGCGGGTGGAGGCCGGTCTGTGCGGTTCTGAGCAGCGCGTCCTCCCCGCCCTCATCCTAATATAGATCCCACACCTGCTCGCCTTTCCTGCTTCCGGAGCCCACGCTGGACACCCCCCCCCCCCCATCCTAGACACACTGCCTGGCACCGGCCGACCCTCCCCCGACCCAGCGCTGGTCTCCGGGGTGTGCCCGTCTCCGCCCGCGCTCACGGTCCCCCTTTACCTTCTGGACGAAGGGCCTTGCGCAGCCTCCGAGCCGCAGGAGGTTTCTAGACCGGCGCGTCCATCTCGGCCACGCTCCGTGTCCGGAGTCCTGGGACGGGTGTCTGACAGCCCTCTCCCCTCGGATGATGAGATTAAACGAGGAAAGACTTAAAGCATATACTCTGGGACCATCATTGGCTCTTTCATTTTTAGCAGACATTTATTAGAGAAGACTGTACTAAGTGGTTAAGACCAGAAATCAGATCTGAATTTATTATTTTTTTTTGAGAAATCAGATCTGAATTTAAATCTGTGGCCTTGACACATGAGCTTAGGCAAATGGGCTCTGTTGCCTCAGTTTCCTCTGTTGTCACAGGGTTTAAGTTGTTGTGTGGATTGTCACGCCAGTGCAGTGACAAGTTAGCTCAGTGTAAGTGCAGGGTCAGTCTTAACTGTCATTCTTACGGAGCTCTGTAAGAATTCTTATCCGTGCTGGGATGCAAACATGAAATATAACAATTGTACTCCCCCAAGTCACAATCTGCGGTGTAGACAGACTTGTAGGAAAATAATTGCCAAACCATGTGATAAAAACTAGAGAGATGTACATAGGAAACAGGGGTGGCCAGGATGAGGGATCAAGTGATGGAAGAGAGATGGTCGGGAAAGACTGCTTGTAGTAGGAAATGAACCCGGCCAAGGTAAGCCAAGCTTCAGAAGTGTGGCTCAATCTGGAGACCAACTGGAACGTAGGAATGGGTGGGGAAGAGCAGGAGGCGAGTAGGTCAGATCACACAGGACTAAGGGCGTGCTGAGGGGTTTGTGGGCTTTCACGGGATAGGCCATAAGGAGTTTTCAAGGGGAATCCTTTGAGCAGACCTGCATGTCAAGTAGGTCACTCAGGAATGTGGAGTCTGGATACAACCTTAGAAGCAGTAGGTTTTTATTATGATTGGGGTAAAGGGGGGAGAGAACCTGAACACACCATTAACCAAGATGGGTTAACGCTGAGGAGATGTGAGGATACAGAAGAATGACAAAGTTCATTTTGGGATATGTTGGACTTCCTATGCCATCAGCTGGTGGAGACTCTCAGAGGTGGTTGAACTTGGGTGCAGAGTAAAGGAGTGAGGCCGGGCCTTCAGGGACCTCCACAGCATGAATCCACTCCAATGATGCGGCTCTTTCTCTAACTATGCCTAGTATATCCTGCCCAAGGAATTTACACATACCCAGGAAGCCTTCCCGTCTCCTCCGTTTGCCTAAATCCTTCATCACTTACCCACCTGTGGCCATCCTCAGACCAAATTCCTTTACAGCTGGATTGTACTGTTCATTCCGCACCGGCCTGGGCTGCTCTGTGGTGGTGACTTCTTTGGGCACATGCCCAGTCTCCACAGTTAGCACCAGTCAGTAAACACTAAGGACTGCACTGGCTGAGGCTCTGGGTAAGGCCCTGGGTTAAAGAGAGACATACTTGTCCTCGGAATTTACAGCCTACCAGAAGCCTGATGTGGAAGAAATAAAATTGAGTGGGATGGCATCCAGGTTGCTGAAGAAACAAACGGCATGGAGGTTTTATTTTGGAGGCTTCCCTGGAGGGAGTGATCTTTTAAATGGAGCCCTGCCCAGCTGGTGTGGCTCAGTGGTTGAGCCTCGGCCCATGCACCAAGAGGTCACCAGTTCAATTCCTGGTCAGGGCACATGCTTGGGTTTCAGGTTCAGTCCCCAGTAGGGGCTTGCAGGAGGCATGTTGATATTTCTATCTCTCTCCCTCTCCCTTCCTCTCTCTCTCAAATCAATTTTTAAAATATTAAAAAATAATCCTATATAATAAAAGGCTAATATGCAAATCGACCAAAGGCTGAACGACCAGTTGCTATGACGCGCACTGACCACCTGGGAGCAGATGCTCAATGCAGGAGCTGCCCCCTGCTGGTCAGTGCACTCCCACAGGGGGAGTGCTGCTCAGCCAGAAGCCGGGCTCACGGCTGGCGAGTGCAGCGCTGGTGGCAAGAGCCTCTCCCACCTCCACAGCAGCGCTAAGGATGTCCAGCTGATGGCTTAGGCCCGCTTCCCACACTGGCAGTCAGACATCCCCCGAGGGCTCCAGACTGCGAGAGGGCACAGGCTGAGCTGAGGGACACCCCCCCCAAGTGCACAAATTTTGTGCACTGGGCCTCTAGTTTAAAAAATAAAATAAACGGAGCCCTGAATTAACCTCGGTGGAGAGATAAATAGGAACATTCTAAGCAGAGGGAACTGTTATGTGTATAGGCCCGGGAAGAGAGTGTGGTATGTGTAATATGGGTGGCTGGTGTGGCTGAATTGGGGCAAAGGCCAGCAGGGGCAACAGATCCCCCAGGGCCATATAAGCCATACTTATTCACTTATTCACTTATTCACTTATTCAACAAATCTTTCTTGAGTGTCAAATGTGTGCCAGGCAATTTTACTTGGCAGAAGTTGAGCAATGGTGTGGACTACTATAACGAACACGCAGATAAAGAGTATCTTCTGCTTGGGGAGATAGAAAATAAACAAATACATAAACAAGGAGCTGTAGGACAAGGCCTCTCTAGAGAGGGTGGTCAGGGAAGACCTGTTTGTGAGGTGACACTTGAGCTGAGGCCTGAAAAATGAGAAAACTAGCTTTTTGTTGAGTTGGAGGCATAGCTTTTGGGCAGAGAGAACAAGTGCAAAGGCCCTGTGGTAGGCATATTTGAGGAACAAAAGAGAGATTACTTGGCTGGATAATTGCGAGTGGTTAGGAGTAGGGTGAAAGAAGGAAAGCAGGCCCACATTTAGTATGGTTATGGTAAGTAAGGCATGGTAAATTATTAAGTACAGAAATAATCAGATTTATAATTTTTTTTGGTTAATCCTCACCAGAGGATATATGTATATATTTTTAAGAGTGGAAAGGAGGAGAGACAGAGAGAAAAACATTGATGTGAGAGATACACATTGATTGGTTGCCTCCTGCACCCGCCCCAACCAGGACCTGGGATTGAGCCTGCAACCGAGGTACATGCCCTTCACTGCAATCGAACCCATGGACTTCAGTCCGAGGACAGACGCTCTAACCACCATCTAGTATCAAATTTATAAAAAGAATATTTTTATTGGTTTCAGAGAGGAAGATAGAAACATCATTAAGAGATAATCATTGATCGGCTGCCTACTGCATGCCTCCCACTGGGGACTGAGCCCACAACCTAGGCATGTGCCCTGGCCAGGAATCCAACTGTGACCTCCTGGCTCATAGGTCGATGCTCAACCACTGAGCCACACCGGCTAGGCCAGATTTGTTTTTAAAAGACAATTTGGGTTGCTGTGTGCAGAATGGACTGTGTAGGGCAAGAGTGCAAGCAGGAAGATCAACTTTAAGTCTTGGCAGAAGTTGAGCAACGGTGTGATCTTGAATAGTAGAGGATGGCAGCAGTGGAGAAGGGTAAATAGATTTCAGAGAGAGACAGGAAGTAGGTCTGGGAAAAGGAATAAATGTGGAAATGAAAGAGGGAGAGAGAAGTCAAGGCTAAACCGTGTTTCTAGATTGAATAACTAGATGGTTGGTGGTCATTTTGCGTCGAGGTGTGAGATGGGGATATCTTGAGGACCCCCACTTCCCCAGATAGCCCAGAGGATACAAAGAAGTCTGAACAGGTCTGCAGCTTGGGAGAATGTATTCTGTAGATACCACATTTTGGAATGCTTACCTATGGGTGATAATTGGAGGGTCATTGAGTGACAAGAACTCCTGGGATAGAATGCGGAGAGCTGATACCAGCATAGTAGACCAAGTCAAGAGATAGACAAGTACCTGCTGGAGGTAATGAACATATTAGTGACTTCAGTCACCTCAGGAGAGTGGTGAGTGGGAGGTGAGGAAACAGGAGACCATGAGGGGCAATGAGCTCAGAAGCTTTGCCAAGAATAAGAGGGGGGCGTGGGACTGAGACAGGGCCTGGGTTTTCAGCCCTCGGTGGTTCCGGGAACCCAGACAAGGCCTGTGCAGGGAAGGCTGTCTTCCTTAAGGGCAGAGAGCGAGTCATCAAGGCCCAGCCCACTTCCCATCAGAGGTCTGGGTGGGGTTGGCAAAGTCACTCCTAACCTTGGGTGAGGCTGACTCAAGGTGGGAAGGTTGCCCCAACTCCCAGTGATAAGCCCTTGCATGACCACAGTGAAACCCTGACCCCCCCAATTTCCCAAGGCAGTGCACTCTGGAAGAAAATAATCTCATTTCTTTTCTTCTCAGTCCTTAGTGGTCTGACCGCCCAAGGTGAACAAACTGAAATGAGAAAGTACAGGAACAGCAGCACAAAACAATGTGAAGATAGGTTGCTTATGGGATTTTCACGAACGAGAAAGATGGTTCTAGAAAAAGAGGCAAACAAGTTGGCTTCAAGGGTCTTCCCACATTGGACCCTGCCTCCCACTTTCATTGATTCCAGTGACCACACAGCAGTCAAACCTTTTTTTTTTTTTCACTTTATTGTACAAAAAAAGGGAAAACAAAACTTCCACAGTTGGCCTTTAGCTTAGGCAGACACCTCTAAGCCACTCCCTCCCCCTCCCATGATACAAATTCAAGTTGTGGTTGTTGTTAAAACCTACAAAAACACTCCTTAAATATTAGAAAAAAAATTGGGGGGGCGAGGATGTGGGGGTCCTCCCACCCCAGCCATCCCATCCCAGTGCCAAAATGCACTCAGAGTGACCTCTTACAGCACCAACACCCCCACCCCCACAGCCCTGTTTGTACTGTAAGAATTTTTCAATTTTTAAAACAGGAAATAAAAAGCGCCCCAAAGTTGTTTTTAAATGAAAACACATTCCACTAAAACACAACAGCACAGGGGCACGCAAACAGGGAGTGGGGTTCTCTGTAAGGGCTCTTGGTAAGAAATAGAACCTGGGAAGCCCTGTGCCTAATTCCAGGATAGGGACAAAGGAAGGGGGGAGTGGGAGTGGGAAGTGTCCCTCCCTAGCTCCCCCAACCCCAGCACCACGTCCAAGGCAAAGATTGTTTGCCTTCCTTTGGGAGCAGGATCCACTTTTCCTATCCCACCTCCTAGGTGGAGTTCCCACTCTTCCCCCATTTCTTGGCTTTCATTCAGAGGGGGGAAGGTTGAAAAGCACAGAGCCCCAATTAAATAGCTCACTGACATGATTGCA